CAAAGTAAAACACGTTCAATGTAGAGAAGTCAAAGACTACAAAAAAATCAATGTGTTGAGTATACGGTGAGAGTCCTCCTCATCACCATCCCTGTCCCACCTCCCTCCCTTCCGTGTGCATTCACCTTTTCCAGGCTCACGCTAATGTATTTGTTATAAGGTCTCCCTTTCTCTCTTTAAAAAAAAAAAATGGAATCATGTAATACTTCTCTTGTTTTTGTGATGATTCTGACTTCTCTTTCTCTCTCCTCTCTCCTCAGGGATCCGGTGTGATTAAAGCTGGCTTTGCTGGTGATCAGATCCCCAAATACTGCTTTCCTAACTAGTAAGTCATTCTATAGCTTAGGCAGAAGTTTGGCTCTCAGCTTTGTTTTAGGGCTGTGGCCGGGCATGGTGGCTCACACCTGTAATACTAGCACTCTGGGAGGCCAATGCAGGAGGATTGCTTGAGGTCAGGAGTTTGAGACCAGCCTGAGCAAGAGTGAGACCCAGTCTCTACCAAAAAAGAAAAAGAAAAAAAAGAAATAAAAAAAAAACAAAACCCAGCCGGGCATCGTGGTGTGACCTGTAGTCCCAGCTACCCGGGAGGCTGAGGCAGAAGGATCGCTTAGAGCCCAGGAGTTGGAGGTTGCAGTGAGCTACAATGATGTTACGGCACTCTACCCAGGATGACAGAGTGAGATTCTGTCTCAACAACAACAACAAAAAAAACCAAGGCAACTGTTTTAGGGCTAACTGTTTTAGCCCTCCCTCTTTTAGGAAGAGGAATTCTCATTCCGGTCAGCCTTGGTACTCAAAACAACAACAAGCAAGGGACAGGAGCTGGGTTTGAAGTAAGCAAAGAAAGTAGTTACCTACATGATAACGATTTGAGAGGCACAGGCAAGGGGCCTCTTTTTTTAAATCTGACTTCATCTAATGCCAAAAATGTTATCACTGGCGACTCCAGGCTTTGGATGATTGCCTTTTCATGGAGCCCTCTTTTTAAACTTCTCCTATCACCCAGGCTGGGGTTAACATTAAACCATACTGCAGACAAAAGGGCACAGAGGCCTAGGGAAGGGGCTTCAAGGGGGAGGAAAAGGAAGAGGCTATCTGTTCAACTTACAGCATCACAGTTTTTCTTAGTAGAGGTCCGAAGGAGACTAAAATGTTTTGAGTTAACCGTTTATATTTACAAATTCTTATTTCCTTATCTCTCTTGGTCTGCACATACATTGGGAAAAGAGAAGAACTAAAAATACTGAATCCTCTAAAATTTCTTTTAATTATTTATAAAGTAATATAAATATAATAAAAATATGAAATAATATATAAATAACTTAAATAATACCTGTTCATTGTAGAAATTGTGGAAAATACAGAAAAGTATAAAGAAGAAAATCAAAATCGACTATAAGCTCACTCCTCACAGATAATCACAGTAGAATTTGAGTATGCATGTGCATCTCTACATCCTTCTTGCGTTCTGTCAAGAAATGAAAAATGATGGTCCTCCCTGCTCTTCTTTCTAGTGTGGGCAGACCCAAGCATGTTCGTGTCATGGCAGGAGCCCTCGAAGGTGATATCTTCATTGGCCCCAAAGCTGAGGTAATTCCCAGGCCTACAGAACAAGCCACAAACCAGCAGAGGACTCCTTATTCACCACATGGGAAATGTCCCAGCAGTTGGACACAGCCATGAGTAAAAGGAGAAATTTTCTCTTAAAATTTCCCTTTTGGTTCTGTCATCCTAGGCCTAGGTGGCTTATTTCTCCCAGGAGCAGCCTCTGGTCTTGGAGAAGAAATATCTGGAAACCCCACTTTGGGAAACACTGAGACCAGTCTTGAAAACAGGGCTATTACCTTATCTTTTACATTCTGTCACTGCCTTGCCAATGATCAAATTGCCTGGCTTGGTTACTTTTTTGGCAAAAGGGATTCAAGAGGGAGAGCCTGGCTGGCATACCCAAGGGATGAGTTAATTAGCACAGTTTTGGCAGAGCCCTAAGGCAGCCTCTAGTAGCAGAACAACAGAATCATTGTTGCCAACTTTGGCTTCAAATGCTGAGACCCAGAGGTGGGAGCAGGAGATATGTCCTGGAATCAGGTAACGAAGAAGCACCTGAGGGCCCATGGAGATGCAGAGGCCCTCTGCTATGCTAGCTGTTTGGAAAGCAAAGGCAGTTTGCAGTATACAGTCTGGAGACTTGAAGAATAGGTGCCCACCTTTAACCATGGCTGAGGACAGTGGAGTGGGAACTCAGGAAGCTGAGGCTAATCACTTGCACAGCTCAGTCCTGGGAGAGGAGGGTCCTGGACTTCAAGTCCTGTTCTCTTTCCCTAGGAGCACCGAGGGCTGCTCTCAATCCGCTACCCCATGGAGCACGGCATCGTCAAGGACTGGAATGACATGGAACGCATCTGGCAATATGTCTATTCTAAGGACCAGCTCCAGACTTTCTCAGAGGAGGTGAGGGTCCTGTGTATAGGGCACCCCTATGGAGTATGCAAAACTGGGCAGAACCCCTGCCCCAGAGATGACGATTAACTACCAAGGGTGTTGGAGTCTCACTCTGTGCCAGGTACCAGGCCATGTGCTTTTCAGACATTTGAGTTGAATCTTCATACTATTCCTATGAGATATAGGTAGCATTATCTCATTTTACAAATAAGCAAACAGAAGCTCAGGAAAGCCAAGTAGTGTTTCCCAGATTACCCAGTGAATAAAGTAGTAGAGCTGGGATTCAAACCCACGTACTTCAGAATTCAGAGCATAATGAGCATAATGCTCATTAACGTCAAAGAAAGTAACTCTCAATTTGGAAGTGCAAAGGAAAGTGTAGGCTACATGTGTCAATTTCCAGGGGCAGGATATTTTCAGTTTTTTAAAAGCATATTCAATATTGAAATTTAATTTTCTATTTTGAGAATTTTTTAAACTATTTTTTATCATAATAATTCAGCATTTAGAGTTTAACAAAATCTTCTTGATAGTTGGAGATATACAGTAGACACGGGGGCCTGTATACAAATCTTGGAGGACAAGGAGGGGAGTGAGGGATGGAGGCAAGGGCAGAATGAGACTTTAAAGGGGGCTTGAATTTGGAAAATTGAGAACCCTACTTGGGCAGGGCTAGGTGACAGGCCCAACTTGCCTTTTTTTGGAGGGAGGGTGACAAAGGTCCCTGGACCCTCAAACCATCAAGGCAGGGGCTTCTCCCCTAGTACTAATGAGGGTGGAAGTCCGGCCTCACCCTGATTGCCTGCTGGGCTCCTTTCACCAGCATCCTGTGCTCCTAACTGAGGCGCCATTAAACCCACGGAAAAACCGGGAACGAGCTGCCGAAGTTTTCTTCGAGACCTTCAATGTGCCAGCTCTTTTCATCTCCATGCAAGCTGTGCTTAGCCTGTGAGTAGCAGCCAGCTAGCCTCGGCCCTTGGGGGGAAAGCAGTCCTTTGGCACAGTTGAGGCAGGCTCTCTTCTGGGTTGGTGCAGAGCAACTTGACACACACACACACACACACACACACACACACACACACACACACACACGCGCGCGCGATAGGGAAGTGTTAAATGACGGTGGGAAAAGGAGAAAGACTTTTGCTGAAACTGAGCACTAAGGCTTCTTAGTAGTTGAAACCAAAAGAGGAGATGTGACTGGTTTCGACTACACCCCACTGTCAGTACTCTCAGTTGGTTTGGTGGCCAAGACTTTCAGTTAGGCCTGCTGAGAAGGCCACATGCTGCTACACCTCTTCCTGAAGGCCCCTATAATGTCTTCATGCATGTATTCAGTGCTTACCGTATGGCAGGTGCTCTGCCAGGCTGGTGATACAACCTTGATCCAAGTGCCTGGACCAAGACTGTATCACCTGGGTCAGTCCCTGTTCTCATGCCCTGTCATTTCTGTCATATTCCCACCCCACCTCCCACCAGCGTTAGGCTTAGGTCTACTACAGAGATTGTACAGTGGTGACCTACCATGGGATTTGTTCAACCCTATTACAAAAATTGTAAGCTAGCATTTGAAAATTGGGAGGTGTCATATCAAAATCCACATTTCTGGCTTCTCTGAAAAAAAAAGAACATCAGGTAATACTAAGCCTGCATTTCTATAGGGCAAAAATCAGCTGCCATGGAATAATGGCGGCCATTTTAGAAAATGCTTTGCAAGCCTGGCTTCTTTACCACACTCCGCCCCATTCTCTATTGCCCACCCAACACGAAGGCTGAATGTCAGTTGCTATTTATCAAACATTGTGGGTTTTTTCCCTCATCTTCACAGAAATATTTTTCTGTATCCAAAGAGAGAAAACTAAAGACAGACCTAGAAGGCCATGTGGGGGGAAAAAACTATTTTTTTTATGGAAGTGAAAAATACTCTTACTTTCCTTTATTCACTTACTTTTCCTGCCTGACCCTAGTAAGCATTTGAGTTTTTTTCCTCATCTAGGAAGGTGAGCTGCCCCCGAGCCTGGGTCTGTGAGGCAGCTGAAGGCCAGGCCATCTCAGAATGCAAGGCCCGCTCTACACGTGGGTGGGGAGCTTGGAGGAGCTCAGCCGCTTTCATTCAGGTGTTCCAAGGCTTGCTTCCACACTTGGGCTTCCTTAGTGCCCCGTCCGTTCTAAGGCCCCTGGAGAAAGGCAGGCCCAACCTTTAGTTTAGCTGACGCTGAACTCTAAAAAGAAGTGGGTTTCTTCCCAGAGTGAGGAGGAGGACTTAGTGATGGTTTGCCCTCTTTGCCTCAGTTATGCCACAGGGAGGACCACGGGTGTGGTGCTGGATTCTGGGGATGGCGTCACCCATGCCGTGCCCATTTACGAGGGCTTTGCCATGCCCCACTCTATCATGCGCATCGACATCGCTGGCCGGGACGTCTCTCGCTTCCTTCGCCTCTACCTGCGTAAGGAGGGCTATGATTTCCACTCATCCTCCGAATTTGAGATTGTCAAGGCCATAAAAGAAGTGAGTGATGCCTCGTGGGCCTAGGGATGGGATGGGGAATGGGAGGGGAGCAGCCAGGACGTCGGTCACCAGCAAGTGAAGAAAGATGAAGCTCCTGCCTGGGTTCCCAGGTCGGGCCCTGTTCTCCCCAGCCAGGCCTCCTGGCAGGGAGGTGACAGATTGGCCTTCCTGAAGTGCTGCCATCTTGTGGGAGGAAAGGGAGCTGTTCCCAGGTGCTCAATATGTTTTTTATGCCTTATGTACAGATTATATAAGTTCTTTCACATCCTTGAAATAGTCATAATACTTTTTTTCTTTTTAAGTAAATTGAACCATATGAGTAGTAGAAGGAGACAGATGCCTGGGCCTGGGGTAAAATTAGGCTGTGGTCTCAGACCCAGGATCCAGAGAGCCAAGTTTCCAAGCTTGCCCACCAGGAAGGTGGAGCAGGTGAGAGTTCACATCCCTAGGGCCACCCAGTGAAGGCCAACAGAGACCTCCCTGCTCCTGCTTCTGGGCAGCAGCTCCTGTGACCATTAGGGCAATCACTGCAAATAGACGGGTTTCTACACAGCATGTTCCTGTCCTGGGACTATGACCAGGTGTGGGCCAGATGTCCCGCCCGCCTGACTGTTGTGCTTGGTCCCACAGAGAGCCTGCTACCTATCCATAAACCCCCAGAAGGATGAAACACTGGAGACAGAGAAGGCTCAGTACTACCTGCCTGATGGTAGCACCATTGAGGTAAGTGGCTGGACTCCCCACCCCCACAGTCCCCTCAGGCCCACAGAAGCTCTAGGCCCAAACAGAACAGCCCTGAGGGCTGGAGCCCGATGCACAGTGAAACTCCTGAGCAGCACGAGTGGCCCTGCCTCCTGCAGAGGAGGTGCCATGTGGAGGGGAGAGGGCTCCAGAGGGATTTTCCCAAGTCAGGTATGGGTTTAGGAAGGGAGATGCTTAGTGCTGTCCTTAACCACTCCTGGGCATAGTACAGGATGAGTTGCCACTCCCTTGAACTCCCATTGATAGGAAGAAATTTCCATGAGTGAATAAATTCATGTAGTAATGCCAAAGATCTTTTGCTTATAAAATGTCAGGGCTAGGGTTAAACGTAGGAGCTTCCCCTCTGTAGTTTCCCAGAAGCCCAATTTGTTCACAGGAGCAATATCTTTGTTCCTTGAGGCCCTTGACACATAGTGTCTGTCTTGAACCTGGCCTTCATAGCGGCCTGGTTAGTAAGAGATGTGCAGAGGGGCCTCTTCCATTCCCACTCCCAAAGGGAACTCATTCCCAGCGCCAACCTCTAAAGCTGGCCCTCCACCCTGCAGATTGGTCCTTCCCGATTCCGGGCCCCTGAGCTGCTGTTCAGGCCAGACTTGATTGGTGAGGAGAGTGAGGGCATCCACGAAGTCCTGGTGTTTGCCATCCAGAAGTCTGACATGGACCTGCGGCGCACACTTTTCTCCAACATTGTCCTCTCGGGAGGCTCCACCCTATTCAAAGGTTGGTCTTTGCTCTTGTGGCCTTGTGACTGGAAACATTCAGATCCTGCTGGGCCCAGACACCCAGAGAAGTGACTTGAGATTCTCCTTTTCTGCTTAGGTTTTGGTGACAGGCTACTGAGTGAAGTGAAGAAACTGGCTCCAAAAGACGTGAAGATTAGGGTAGGAGCATGGTGGGGGCTGGCCTGGGTGGGCCTGGAGTGCCACGTGGTGTGGCCTCCCTCTGGCTCTGCCCAAGCTCTTCGGGCAGCCAGGGCTCTGTAGCTAGCACCAGACGGCTCCCAGCTTACACACTGACCCTGAGATCTAGGTCAGCCAGGGAGGTTCCGTTCTCATTCTCCCTCTTCACTCAAAAGGAAGGCTGTTCTAATATCCAGATATGGCAGGGCCCTAGGTTGAGGGCCCCAGGTGTGACCTTTCAGGGAAACTAAAAGTGACAGGAGATTAGCTGGGTATGGTGGCATGCTCATGTAGTCATAGCTCCTTGGGAGGCTGAGGTGGGAGGATCACTTGAGACCAGGAGTTCAAGACCAGCCTAGGCAACATAGCAAGACCCTGTTTCTTAAAAAAAGAAAAAATTGACAGGAGATTGACTTTTACTGCTGCTGTGCCCCTTGACCAGGTGGCTCCCCGTCACAGTCTGACTTAGTGACGGTAAAGGGAGCTGGCTACCTGAGGAGGGATCCTCAATGAAGGAGTGTGGTTCCTGCCCTGGAGTCTGTTGCCCCCAGGCCCCAGGTAGCTCCAGCTTCCCTGGGAGCCGTAGATACTCAGGGCTGCTGGAAACCTGCTTCCCCAGATGAGTGTCGGGCTGGCCACACTACCCTCCAGAGAGGCCACAGGGTCCAGCAGGGCAGAGCTTAGGCCTGGCGTGTGAAACGCATCCTCTGCCTTGGGCAGTGAGAGGAGTATTATAAGGGAAAGGGAGGAATGGGAGTCTCAGGTTCTTTCCACCACCTTTGCAGATATCCGCACCTCAGGAGAGACTGTATTCCACATGGATTGGGTGAGTGGCTCTTCCAGGAGAAAGAGGGGAATGGGAGGGCATGGATAAGCCCTCATCACCGCATCCCTTTAAAGAAAAGCCTGATTTGGTTTGGCCCCAGGGGTCTGGCTGGCTCCACGAACACCCACTTCTCTCCTACACTGTTCCTTTGGATTCCCTCCACTGCAGGGGCTCTATCCTTGCCTCCCTGGACACCTTTAAGAAGATGTGGGTCTCCAAGAAGGAATATGAGGAAGACGGTGCCCGATCCATCCACAGGAAAACCTTCTAATGTTGGGACATCATCTTCACCTCTCTCTGAAGTTAACTCCACTTTAAAACTCGCTTTCTTGAGTCGGAGTGTTTGCGAGGAACTGCCTGTGTGTGTGAGTGTGTGTGTGTGGGTATGAGAGTGTGTGCACATGTGTGAGTGCGTGTGGCCCGGGGATCCCTGGGCCCAGAAAGGACGATGGACTACCCACAGTGGCGATGGCCTGAGGCCTGAGGTTGACCACTAACTGGCCTGACAGGGAAGAGTGCTGGCAGAGGCCATGCTGCTTCCCCGGCTGAGCCTTTGGCTGGCTGCGTGGGCCTACGTTTACTACCACAGGGAGACGGAGAGGGAGGTAAGCCAATCCCCCGGGAGACCTTGCTGCTGCCCACCAGGCTGGGCCGGCCCCATCCCCACCCCCAGAGGCCCAGGCAACTGCTGCCTCCCCTTGCTCGTCACTCTGTTCTCGATGCCTCCTGACCACGTGCTGAGAGGACTGGGGCTGGGGCTGAGTCCTGTCTGGTTGTGTCGCCATTTTGGTTTGGGAGGCTGGAAGAACACTCTAGGAGTGGTTACAGAGACTCTGGGGTCAGGAGAGAACAGGAGGTCCTCAAGTTCACCTGGGGACCACGCCAGGCATTGGAGGAGGGCAGGAGTCATGCTACTTCTGGTTGGCTGCAGAGCTAATGCTGCAAGCCCAGCCAGTCCCCTTTTAGGTCTCGGGAGAGTTTAAGGAGCCTCCAGGTCCTGTCCTCGCTTTTCATTCATCCTTGTTGCAATGCCATCTTCAGTTTTACTTATTGAAGTGTTTGTTCGGTGAGGGGCTGGAGAGGGGGAGCTCACCACCTCCCGCCCTGTTCACACTAATGTTTACAGACCTACACTTAGCCTAGCACCCAGGGCCCTGCCTCTCCCTGCTGCTGAGCTGACAGTATCCATAGGCTGCAGGAGCACTTGGGATTGCAGGCTACACTGAAATGCACTCCCACCAGCCTCTCTCTCCCTCTTCTACTGGCTGGAATGAACAGGCTGGTTGCTGGCTGGATTCTCTGAAACAGGAGGTACAATCACTCTTTGGCAGAGACCCCAGGCAAAGGAGGGTTTTAGAGCTCTAGTACCCTTAGGACTGGAGAAAACTGCAATTAACCAAGTTGCCTTTGCCACTCTAGCTGACCAGAGGACTAGGTTGTGGGGGTGGGACAGCCCCCTCTGGGCTGATCTTGTGCCATTCTTGACTTTGGGCCTGTTTGGTTAGGGAGGGAGAGGACCAGATGCTGATGGGCCCAGGCCTGACTTCTCAGAGTGGTCCAAAGCCCTTCAGCCCAGATCATGCAAAGCCGGGGCCAGCCTGTTTTCACCGGCACCGTCACCCGTGACACCAAGACCCACCCTAATCCCAGATTCCAGGCAGTATTCTCTCCTACGCCATCCTGTGACCAAAGGCCCCTGCCAGATGTGGGCCACAGCAGCAGGTGTGTGTGAAAGCAGTGTGGCGCCCCGCGGACTGCATAACCAGCTCACCTCCCTTCTCTTAGCCCAAGCCTGTCCCTCGTACAGCCTCGCACAAACCATGTTGCCTGGTGGGGCCCAGTGTACTGAAATAAAGTCGTTCCAATAGACACATCAGCGGGACCTCTTTCTGTCTGTGGCCGTTGCTGGGTGGGAAGAAGGACGAGCGGTGTTCCTGAATCTGAGGTGGTGACTGGGCCTGGTCTGTCCTCTAGAGGGCACTGTTGCACCAGCCAGATTCACCTCGGCTGCCGCCCAAGTTCCAGCCTGTGGGGGTGGATGCGGAGAAAATCACGTTCACACCAACGCCCAGGTTCAAGAACTGGGAGTCCCACCCCTGTGTACACACTCAAGCCCATGGGTGAGACTCAACTCTGAATGACAGGAGCAGCTCTTGACATCCCTGAAATCAGAGGTTCTCAAAACTTTCATGTGTATCAGAAGCAGTTTCTGGGACCCACACTCAAGATACCCATTTTAAACCTGCACTTTGGGGGAAATTACCAGGTGCTTGACAAATGTTAACCCATTTAATCTTCCCAATAACCCTGCAAAGTGTAGGTGTTTTTATTATCCATTGTACAGATGAAGATCTGGAGCCACAAAAAATCAAGCAATTTCCCAAAGCTCTGCCCTTTATTAGCTTGGATGTGAACCCAGCCATAGAGCCTACATTTTTAGCCACTATGCAGACTCTCAGAAACCACTGGCTTAGAGCAATGGTTCTCAACTGGGATCAATTTGCCTCCCAGGATGCATCTGGCAATGTCTGGACATGTGTTTGGTGTCACAACTGGAGGAAGGGGAGGTGCTACTGGCACCTAGCAGGTAGAAGCCAGAGATGCTGCTGAATGTCCACAACAAAGAGTTATCTGGCCCCAAATGTCTCTAGTGCCAAGGTTGACAAATGCTGGCCTGCAGCAGTGGTTTTCATCCCATCTGCATGATAAAAATCACCTACAGAAATTTCCCAAATCTGAGAAACCTCTGGCCTATAAGAGGCTCCTCCTCTGACTCCCATGTCCAGCAGTGGTACAAGGGAAATGCACTGGGGCTGCTGGCTCCAGGCCCAAAGGTCATTTTGGTCCCCAGCACCTATGCAGCTACCAACCTGCATTTTTCTCCCTGGCACCTCAGGGAATCTGATGCAGGTAACACCATTCCTTTGCAAAAATGCTCCCAGGTACTTTTTCTAGTCAGTGAGGAGTCCTGACCCCCAACCCACCACTCACACACACAGCACAGACCTGAGGAATAGGAATGACTGGCTTTAATCAGTCTGTAACAAAATCACCCTCTGGAGGCCTAGTGGACTGGGGGAGCCCTACAGCAGGGGAGATGTGCTATGTCCAGCACAGCTGAAGCAGAGAACCCTCTGAGAGAAACCACTGGAAGGGTGGAAGGAGGGACTGTGGGATGGACAGCTTCCCCTGACTGGGCAGAAGGGAGCAGATGCAGTATCAAAAGTGGTTCCTGAGCACACCTGAGTAGCCAGCCCCAGCCAGGCAGTGGGATGGGCCTCCAAGCCCCACGCCAACCCCATGTGCACGCAGGGCAGCCCCGTCCCTTCTTGGTCCTCTTCTTTCCTCCTGCCCCACAAGGGAAGCAGGTCTCAGGCCCCTGAGCTCATTTGGCCCAGCCCTTGCCCAAGCTGGGCCAGGCAGCTAAGCAGGGGCTTAGACCTCAGTGACAAGTGTGGCTCAGCCCCAGGAGCTTCCACCCTGCCATCTGTCCTCCACGCCACACCTGAGGAAGGTGGAGGAGCAGGACGCTGGTAAAAGTGGCTCCTGCCCTGGGCTTCAGGCAGTGTCCTCAGCAGGGTGGCCTTGCTGCACCTCTCACACCGTCTTAATGTCCAGGGTTTGGGCCCGTGACAAGTTCTGGCGCTGGGCCTTGACCATGTGCAGGCGTCTCCCGTGCAGCGTGAACTGGGACCAGGTGAAGAGCTGCAGCAGAGCACAGGTGATGGGCACCAGCACCAACAGATAGAAGCAGCCCTGGCGGAGCGTTGGGGCCTGCGCAGGGGCTGGGGCTGGGGGCTCTGGCCAGGGCTGGGCACTCCCTACAGGGGTCATTGGGGGCTGCTGGAAAAGGTCGTGACCTAGGACGAGGGCACAGAAAAGACATGATCAGCCAATTCCCCTTCAAGCGCTGGTTCCCTCTAAAGGCCATGGTGTGACATCTCAAACATCACACGCACATGTCCAAACCACAACTCTCAATTCCCCCCACCCCCCAAACCCGCTCCTCCCCCAGTCTTCCCTTCTCAGTGAAGGGTACCACCCCCCATCCAATAACGCAGACCAAACGCCCCAAAAATCACCCTCAATTCCTCGCTTCAGTGTACTCTATCACTCCCCAACATCCAATCCATCTCCCCCCAACGCCAAAACATACCACACCACCACCCTGGCCTAAGCCTCCATGGCCTCTGCTAGTCTCCCAGTCGTCTCCCTGCTGTTCCCACCCCAGCCTCCTACAATCTGTTCTCCATACAACAGCCACAGTGAACTTTAAAACACATAAATCTGACCACGTCACTTCCCCACTTAAAACTCTCTCAATAGCTTCCCTTTGACTGAAAATAAAACCCAAACCCTGCCCGATCGACAGAGCCCTCTTCACTTTTCCAGCCCCATCTCCTAACCACTCCTGAAACCTTGGGCCTTTGCACTTGCTGTTCCCTCTGTCGGGGACGCACTGAGCTCTTTTCTAGACCAAACCCTTGCCATTCAGTTCACATCCTGAGCGTACCCTCTCAGAGAAGCCTTTTCTGATCACACCAAGTAGCTTCTCGGTCACACTGTCTCACATCTCCCTAATTTTTACTATGGCACTTATCCCTACCTGATGGTTTTCTTGTTTGACTGTTTATTGCCAACCCTACCCCTACCCGATTAGAATATAAGCTCCGTGATGGCAAAGACCTTTTCTGTCTTATTCATTGTTATCTCCCCAGCACTCAGAGCCTGCACAGAGAAGGAATTCTGTACATATTTGTTGAGTGAATGAATGAATGAACTAAGAAAGAATGGAGGAATCTGAGAGCCAATGCCTCTACCCATGTGGGGAGGGGCCAGTTGCCATCCTCTCTCGTTCACTGGACCCAGGCTCGCCAGCTGGGTGAGCTGTGCCCCCTGGAGCCTCAGGGAGCCCCTTCCTTTCTCCTGGGCCCTCACCTGTGTAGAAGCAGAGCAGCCAGGTGCCCAGCAACGGGGCAAAGGTCTGGCCCGGCTTGGTCACGAGGGCAACCATGCCAAAGAGAAGCGCCGAGGCCGCCTGCTTGCGGTGGTTCAGCACCAGGTCCTCGTCCACCAGGTCAGTGACCACTAAGGTCAGCAGCTTACAGGTGCCCTCCGTGAAGACACGGTTGCTGGGTTGGAGAGAGAGCGCGGCAGGAGTGAAGGGGTAGGACAGAGGCGCGGGGGCGAGGGTGGGCAGGAGCATACCTGGCAATGAAGAGGCAGAGCAAGCCGAGGTGGTCCGGGCCAGCCAGCAGCATGAGCAGGCTAAGGCCCAGCTTGAGCAGGAAGAGCCCCCGCACCACAGCGTAGACACCCCAGCGTCGGCACAGGGGCAGGAAGTAGAGGTTGTTGAGATGGGGCGCAACATAGGAGATGCCTGGGGAGGGGCGGTGGGGCACCAGCCTGTCATGGGCACAGCTGCAGCTTCAGTGACTGCCCACATCTGACTGCATTTGTAGCGCACTCATGATGTGCTGCGCTCTGTGCTAAGAGCTTCACACTCTTCTATTTAATCCTCCCAACGCTTCCAGGTAAGTACTATTAATATCCCTACTTCACAGATGAGAAAGGGAGGCTTTAGTCCTCCGGCTAACCAGCCACTGCACTGCATCGCCTCAGGGTGGCACCATCTCCTAGAAACCCGACATGAGAGCAGCCCTACCCCCCACACCCACGACAGGCTCCTGCTCCCACCCCCTCTCCGGGAAAGCAAAGCTGGGGGCTGGAGGTGCGGCCCCCACCCTCTGCCACCTGAGTCCCAGCTGGTGAGGTGGCTGTGCCTGCAGCTGGCTAGGAGTTCTGGGGTACAAGCCTCTGTCCTTCCAGTCTGCCCGGGGCACACACTCACCCAACAAGATGGAGCCCGTGGAGAGGGAGATGTGGTCCGACAACAGGTGCTCCAGGAAGAGGGGGAAGAAGTTGCTGTTGAAATGGCAGTGGAAGACCTGCAACCCGACGGGGACAGTGAGGAGGCTGCCAGCCAGGAGGGACGCCAGTAGGGCTGGAAGCCAATAGGGGAGCACATGTCCCCTGGTCCTCAGAGCAGCAGGCCTTTATCCCCAGGTCCCTAAACATGCAACATGCCAGAACAAAACCTAAAACCACATTCCTGCTGCTTATCTGATTTTGTTAGAAGGCATGATAAAATAGTATTGGAACAATGAAAGGTTTTTCTTTTTAATTGAAACACCTTTTTCATAACATAAAAACAATTTATTTCTAAGTTTGGCTACATGTGTTATATACTAAATGTGTTTTAGGTGTGGCCCTTGGTGTTTTCAAAAGATTGTCACAGAGTCCCCAAAGGGAGCATCTCTCTTTCATATCCTCACTTTACAGGTGAGGACAGGGCTGCCCAGAGTCGCCGAGACCTGCCCGAGATCACACGGGAAGGGAGGGGATCAGATGGTGCTAGAGTCCGGGTCTCCTGACTCCCCAACCTGTGTTCCTGCCACTGAATCATCCAGCAGTCCTCAGGGTGGCCCAGAATCGAGTTCCCAGCTCTTAAGGAAACTGTCCCCTTGAGTGAGGCTTAGCCCAGCCGTGGAGGGGCCTAGGGGCTGCTCCCTGTACCTGCACCAGGTCCATGCCCACGAACCACAGGAAGTTCCGGTGGCGTGCCAGCTGCCGGAGGTACTGGCCCAAGGTGACACTGCCCACTTCCTCACTGCCCACAAGCAGCTCCTCTCCACACAGGCTGCGGGGCAGAAGGAAGTTGAGAACTGCCTGGGGCTGGGCCAGAGTCATCCTCCACCCCAGGGCAGCCACTGAAATCAGACCCAGAAGAGTGCTGGTGGGAACCCGGGCCCAGGGCTGGCCACTCACCCGCCATCCACAGCCAGGGCTGAGCACCCGGGCTCCCTCCTGGCCACTTCGACCCGCCGCCTCAGCAGTTGTGTGGCTCCCAGAAAGCCCAGCCCAGAGCCGGCGGCCAGTGTCACGCAGAAGGCGCGGAAGGAGGAGAAATCCTCCTTGTTCCAAAAGGCGTAGGAGGCAAAGACAGAGAGCGAGCCAGCCGCACTGAAGAGGGAGCAGCAGAAGTTGAGATGGGTGCGATCGTGGGCCGAGAGGGCCAGGTCAGCCAGCAAGGCGTGGTGGTGCAGGTCTACGAGTGTCAGGAAGCCATCATACAAGCACAGGCACAGCAAGAACTGCAGGCCGGCCGGGGCCCAGGGCACCCAGAACGCCAGGAACGACAGCGCCAGCAGCGGCCCGTGCCAGCTCAGCGCCCGCACGCGGGCCAGCACCACGGCCCTCGAGGAGAGCCCAGCACCCGACCTGCCAGGGAAAGGAGGGCTGTTGAGAGGTGCTCTTTCAGCCTTGGCAGGCCCCGGCTCCTCCTGCCCAGGTCCTGGGGCGGGGGATGGAGGCCCAGAGTGTGGGACTCACAACAGTGTGGCCCCACTGTGCCCCAAGTCCCCAGCCTTCAATTTAGGAAGCACAACTCACCAATGGGTACACTGTCCTTTGCCCCAATCTCTTCCCTTAGTAGCCTGTCGGGGCTGATGGCCAAAGGGTGGTGGGATACCAACCTCTCAGGCTTGGAGACAGTGATAGCTCAAACAGGGATGGGGTAAAGGAATCTGCTGGAAGCAGCAGAAGGTGTTTGCAGCACAGCCAAGCCAACCTGGGGTAAATCTCTTCCCCTGGCGAGCAAGGCTAGGGTTAGTCAAGGCTATTCCTCCAGCCTGGACAGAACCTGCCCTGGACCCCAGGAGTAAGGGGACATGGACAATCCCTGAAATAGTCTCCCTTCTTTCACCCTGACAAACACAGGCAGGGGTCCTCTAGCCCTGGGAGCAGTGGGGTGGGACTGAACCAGTTATGAGCCATCCCTGAGACACAAACCGGGGCTGGGAGCCGAGGAACTGGCGGTCACTGAGCCAGCCGAAGAGGGGGTCATTGAGGCTGTTCCAGAGGAGAAACACCGTCTGCAGGCAGAGGGGAGATGGGGTAGGTGGGCTTCTCTCCAGGGTTACCCCTACCCCAGCCTGCTCACCACCCTCCCAGATGGCTGCAGCCTTCCTGCCTGCAAACCTTTGCTCTCTGCCAGCCACTGCCACTATCAGACTCCGACCCATGCAGGGCCCAGCTGTTATATGTATCCAGCTGATTAGATTAATATATGAGAACATATTATATTATACATATGAGTATTCAGAACAGTGACTACATAAGACAGTGGCCAGGAGAGCTGGTCTCATCCCCACTGAGGGTTATTGAGGCCTCCACCAGCTTTTCTTGCTGAGTCCGCCCCATGCTCCTGACGAGGCAGGACCCAGCCTGCAACCTGCGTGGCAGCCCATGCGTCCTCTCTTCTCCCACTTAGGCTAGCCGCCCAGCGCTGGCCCTACCTCTCCAACCCAGAAGGCCGTTTTGTTGATCTTGTACACTGAGACAAAGGTGTCCACGTAGTAGAGCAGGAACACATTGTGCAGGATGGAGGTGAAGAGGGCCAGGGAGCCATAGACCACAGCTGTGGGCAGGGCCAACAACCAGGTCTGGAGGTGACCCAGCCCCATGGCTGCCAGCCCAGCCTTAGCCCCAGGAACACTGAGGGCTCATGGCCATATGCAGTCTCGCCATCCTTGTCCCTGGGGAAGAAGGAGCCAGTTAGCAGCAGGGATCAGAGCCAGCTCTGCTCTTAACCTCAAACCTCTGAGTCATTTAAAAACTCATTTCCACTGGGAGAGAGTTTGTACTTAAAACAAAGCTGGGGAATCATCAATAAAATACAACTGAAATGATGCTAAGCTAGATACCACTACTCTGAAATGATGCTAAGCCAGATACCACAACGAGGAAACTGCAAAAGCCTGTGGGAAGAGAAGGGCGATATCCAAGCGCTGAGCCAGGTCGTGCGCTAGGGCTTGATGCGCAGTACCTTCTTATATCCACGCTTATGACCTTAACAGTCTGGACGTGACAACCCTGGGCCTGGGTACACACTGTACTCACAGCAAAACCTCAGGTAAGCTACTTAATCCAAGACTCAGTTTCCTCCTCTATGAAAGGTAAGAGAGGATGGTGCTGCCTACTCTGCAGAGGAACTTAAGGATTAAATGGGGTAACTTACAGAAAGTACTCAATAAACACATGTTGGTAGTGTCATTCATATTTTCACAAAATCCCTACAAAGTTTATAGTACTATTAGATTTTATAGGAGAGCAATCCCAAGCTCAGAGATGTTAAGTCATTTGACCAATGTCACACAGCAAAAAGAAAAACAGATTTCAATCCAGGCCTGTCTGACTCCAAAGCCCTTTCTGCCACTTGACCTCCCAAATCAAGTCCCTATGTGCTGTTGGGGAGAAGAGTAAAACCTGGGGTGATGTGTGCTCGGTAACAAGAGTGGTAAGATGTGGTAAGAGTCCACAACTGCTCATGCACTTTGATTTGGGAAATTCCACCTCAAGAAACTAATCCAGGCCTGGTGTGGTGGCTTATGCCTGTAATCCTAGCACTCTGGGAGGCCGAGGCAGGAAGACTGCTTGAGCTCAGGGGTTCGAGACCAGCCTGAGCAAGAGTGAGACCCCCGCCCCGTCTCTACTAAAAACAGAAAAATTAGCCAGGCATCGTGGCACATGCCTGTAGTCCCAGCTACTCAAGAGGCTGAGGCAGGAGGATTGCTGGAGCCCAGGAGTTGGAGGTTGCAGTGAGCTACGATGATGCCACTGCACTCTACCCAGGTGACAGAGTGAGACTCTGTCTCAAAAAAAAAAAAAAACTGATCCAAAGGAATGTGTACAGAGATGTTCATCACAGCAAAAAACTAGACACAGCCTAAGAACGCAACACAGGGACCAGCTGAGCAAGCTCAACATTTTCCAGAAAGGACCTGCACGTGGGCAACATCAACACATGGGGAGAGAAACTCAAGAACATGTTACGTGAAAAGAGAGAACAAAGGACAGCAGACCTGTGCACAAAGACCAACAGCTAGGATGACCAGGAGTGGGAAGGGAAATAAAAGTCAGATTTTTATTAGTCAGTGATTCTCAAACTGTAATATGTGTAGGAGTCACCTGCAGACTTTGTTAAAATGTAGATTCTGACTCAGGAGGTCTGGGAGGAATCTGAGATTCTGGATTTCTAACAGGCTCCACATGAGGCTGAAGTTGCTGGTCTATGACATTTTAAGCAGCAAGGCCTTAATTAAGTCTCCCTTTTTTAGACTCAAACCTGTCCTTGCCCCATGCCCCAGTGGCTCTCACTGCCTAGTGCACCAAGGCCACCAACCCACCCCCTCCACCTGGCTGGCAAGGCCTCTGCAATCTGGCCTCTTCCAGCCTGTCCAGCCCAGCCTCCTCTGGCGGGGCCTCCATCCTTACAGCTTCCTCCCGCGGGCGGCACCCTCCCCATCTGTATCTCCCCCATTCTTCAGGAGCCAGCCCTGTGTCCAGGAGACCTTCTCCAACCCCTCGGGCCTCGCCGGTCCTGCCCGCCCCCGCACCCCATTTGCTCTGTCTGCACAGCAGACACTCCTGACTACCCGACGTGGGGTTTTCAAGGGCAGGACCCGTGTCTTCGCCTTCTATCTCCCTCTCAAGGAGAACGTGGGAGGCTCTGAGGAGGATGAGGAGGGGATCCCACTGCTCTCTCCGGCTCACTGAAGAGCCAGTGGTGACTCACTCACGAGATCCATATGCACCTCCCCCTCCCCATGCCAACCTTGTGCCAGTCTACGCCTAGTGGTGGGGCAACGAGAGAAGGAGAAGTGGCCAAAACTACCCGAAAGCAGCCCTGCACCTGCGAGACTGTTCCCCGGGTGGCCACAGTGATCTGTTCTTGCTCCCAGGCAGGAGGATGGGCAGGGGGCCTCTCCCTGGGGCCCTTGAGCCCCTGAAGGAAACAATTTTCTTTTTTTTTCTTCCTCAGAGCTTTATTGAGGTATAACTGACAAACAATACATGGCATATATTCAAAGTGTACAGTCTAAGTTTTACCATACGCATGCGTTTCCCCTGAGAAATCATCACCACAATCAAGTTAATGAACACATCCATTACCCAAGTTTCCTCGACACTGCTTTTCTAAGTGCCATGGTGGAAAGAAGATACACCTGGAGGTCTCACAAGTCCTGACTCTACAATTTACCACCTGTGTGACCTGGAGCATTTTACTTAACCTCTCTGTGCCTGTTCACAGTCAATGAGAAAATAAAGCACTAAAGCTTTAAAGACGATTACTACCCAACCTCTCAGACCTTCCATAAAATGGAGAGGGCCCCACGACCTGCGACCTGCCATACAGGTCAGAAGTGAGGATTTTTTTTTTTTTTTTTTGAGACAGAGTCTCATTGTGTTGCCCGGGCTAGAGTGCCGTGGCGTCAGCCCAGCTCACAGCAACCTCAAACTCCTGGGCTCAAGCGATCCTCCTGCCTCAGCCTCCCGAGTAGCTGGGACTACAGGCATGTGCCACCATGCCCGGCTAATTTTTTCTATATATTTTTAGTTGTCCAGATAATTTCTTTCTAATTTTAGTAGAGACGGGGGTCTCGCTCTTGCTCAGGGTGGTTTCGAACTCCTGAGCTCAAACAATCCGCCCGCCTCGGCCTCCCAGAGAGCTAGGATTACAGGCGTGAGCCACCGCGCCCGGCCTAGGAGTGAGGATTAAATGAGATCCTTTCTAAAGGTGCTTTGGGGCTATAAAGCACAACCTACACCTCTGTCACTATCCTTAACCTAGGTCACTTTCTGTGATTGCCCCAGGGCTTTCAGAACCCCCTGCCTCAACCCCAAAGCTGTAGGAGAAAGGGAGTGAAGCCTCCCCACCCCTTCCCATATGCCCAGGGACTTGCCCTTGTTGCTAGAGGTGAGCCCTGCACACAAGGTCCCCCGCCTCTCCCAGCCGGCTCTGTGCACCTACACTGGGATAAGGGTAGAAGAAAACCTCAAAAGGTAGAGAGATGGAAAGAGTATGACTTTTGCCATCAGAAGGCCTGAGTTCAAATCCCAGCTGCACTTCCTACTATAACTTTAGGCAAATCACTTAACCTTTCTGAGCCTTGGCTTCCTCATCTATAAAATGGGATAATAATGCCTACTTTTATAGGGGTACAGGAAGGATTAAACAAATGTCCAGGAAGCCTGTCGTGCCTGTCACACAAAAGATGCTCGGAAACTGGCTTTTTCTTTTTCTTTTTTTTTTTTGAGACAAAGTCTTACTCTGTTGTCTGGGCTAGGGTACAATGGTGTCATCATAGCTCACTGCAACCTCAAACTCCTGGGCTCCAGGCATCCTCCTGCCTCAGCCATCCAAGTAGCTGGGACTACAGGTGCACACCATGATGCCCGGCTAATTTTTTCTATTTTTAGCAGAGATGGGGTTTCATGCTTGCTCACGCTGATCTCGAACTCCTGAGCTCAAGTGAGCCTCCCACCTCGGCCTCCCAGAGTGCTAGGATTACAAGCGTGAGCCACCAAGACTGGACAGAAACTGGCTTTTTCTGGGGCTCACTTAGATCAGGGTAGGAGCAGGGGAATATCCTGGTAATCAGACCCCTTCCTAGGTAGGGCAGTTTGAGAAAAAGATGGGGCACAGGAGGGAAAGTCAGAAAAGGGGGGCCTGCAAGGAACACATATACAATGTTTGGGAATGCCAGAGACAAACTCCCACCACAGACATGAGCTGAAGGCACGGCAACCTGTCCAGGTGAACAGCTGCCCTGGAGAGGGAGCTGGGGGAGGAATGTGCGGGGTTACTCTTTAGCGGTTTCTCTCCCAGATTCCCCTCCTCCATCAGGAAACAGCCTTCCCTTCTCACCCTCCCTACACCTACCCTCAACCCGCCCCAGGAGAGAACAGCAGCCCTGCCTTTCTGAGGGAACACTGCTTGGAGCCCACACCAGCCTTGTTGCATAAGCTGGGTGAGATATCCTATAATCTGCACCAACTCCACCTGCCCCCTTGGCACCTTCTAGGGCTCATCTGCCCTTGGTATGGTCCCGGCTGGTGGCCTTGAGCCAGCCACTCCCTCTCCCTGAGCCTCAATCTCCTCACCTACAAAGTGTGGATGTTAATGCCCACCTTGTAGATGGCTGTGGGCTGAAATGCAAAAGGAAAATAAAGCACCAGGCATACTACCTGGCACACAGAAGACCCTCGATACGTGATAGCTATTTTTTTTCATGTCTCTGAAGTTTAGTTTTATGATCAGTCATTGACCCTTCTGCCAAATCCTTGACTGAAGTTGTCTTTCCAGCACCCAAGCTTGATGCCTCTTGTTGCCTTGACCATCCTAGCCCTCTTGTCTACCATCCTCAAATTCTTTTTTAAATGCCACCTTCAGGCCGGGCTCAGTGGCTCACACCTGTAATCCCAGTTCTTTGGGAGGCTGAGGCGGGAGGATTGTTTGAGGTGGGAGTTTGAGACGAGCCTGGGCAACAAATGGCAAGAACTCATCTCCACAAAAAATTTTAAAAATTAGCTGGGCATAATGGCCCGTGTCTGTGGTCCCAGTTACTGGGAGGCTGAGGCAGGAGGATTGCTTGAGCCCAGGAGTTCCAGGTTGCAGTGAGCAATGATTGCGCCACTGCACTCCAGCCT